CGACCACGCCGGGTAACCCAACCTTCTACTCGTCTTCGTGACTTTATTGTTGGTTCTACTGCTTTTTCTACTTATGAACCGACCTCCTATCGTGAGGCTCGCTCTAATCCTCTTTGGCAGCAAACTATGACTACTGAATTGCAGGCTTTAGCCAAAACTCATACTTGGGACATTGTTGATCTTCCTCCTGGCAAATCTGCTATTGGCTGCAAATGGGTATACAAAATCAAGACTTGTTCTGATGGATCTATTGAGCGCTACAAAGCCCGCCTTGTTGCCAAAGGCTTTAACCAAGAATATGGTATTGACTATGAAGAGACCTTTGCTCCTGTTGCTCGTCTCACCTCTGTTCGCAGCTTACTTGCTGTTGCTACCTCCCGCCAATGGGATCTTTATCAACTAGACGTCACCAATGCTTTTCTTAATGGTGATCTTCTCGAGGAGGTATACATGCAACCTCCCCCTGGGTCTACTTATCCACCTCATAAAGTCTGCAAACTTAAGCGTGCCTTATACGGTCTCAAACAGGCTCCACGCGCTTGGTTTGCCAAGTTCAGTTCTACTATTCATGACTGTGGTTTCACCTCCAGCTCGTATGATACTGCTCTTTTTATCCGGAAAACAGCTCACGGGACCACCCTGCTTTTACTTTATGTGGATGACATGATTATCACCGGTGATGAAAATTTGTGAGTTTTTGTACAAGTTCATTTTGAGTCTTTTTCAATAATTTGAATTGTTCATATTATATGATTTGTCGAGTATATCATTCATATAAAAATTTAAATTAATCAGACATTCATAAGTCCATGATCGGTTCTAATTGTTTTTAAAAATTTATAAAAACAATGTTAACTGTTTAATTTTTTAAAAACAAATGTTATCTTATTATAGAGTTATAAATTTTTAATCAATTTAATTTTTTATATAAATAATTTACTCAACAAATCTTATAATATGATTGATTTGAATTATTAAAAAAAATTCGAGACGCGCCTCCACCGGAGTCATAACAGCATCCCCATTTCAAGGGGGTTGTACGTAATGTATTCTTAATTGATATAATTGCAAATATATTAATTATAAAAAATTTAAATTGAAATACAAATAATCTTGGACTAACCCCTCGAAAACGATACATACATAAAAATATATATATCAACGCGACTAGTCAATGAAATGGTTGAGATATATATCAACACATACTTGTTGCCAGCTTTGTATGAATCATATGCTTTCTCATGGGATTTTTTTATTCAAAGATGAAAGAGCTTGAAGTCTAATAATGGCAACCCATTTGGATGTATCAAAATCAATAAATGCTAGATTTAACTTCAAATAGAAAATAGAAAATGACAAATGAAAAAAAAAAAGCATATTAAAAAAATAATGCCAAGGAAATTATTACAAATCCATGTAGGTGGCCCAATAAACTCAGTGATCTTTGTTTGTGATAGTAAAAATGTCAAAAATTCAGAATTCGAATAAATAGTATGGCTACCCTTTTTATTATAATTAATTTATTAAACTTTTAAAATTTTATCGTATGACAAGAATAAAAAATAAAAAAATTAACATAAATCCTCTGTTCTTTTTGATGTTCCCCTTTGATTTCTAATTGAGTTTGTTACCCATTATAAATATTGATTATTATTATATTAAAAATTATAATCTTTAAAATTAAGAAAGCATGGAAAGTAACACCAATAAATAAATAGAAGATTTATCACCTAGCAACACAATTATTGTCACCTAGCAACTGTATCATTACAAACACTCATCATCCAATCGAATTCTCCAAATTACCCCTCAAGTGGACAATGGTCAAATAGATTACAGGTTCAGTCATGATACATTCCTCTGAAAAGGAATATTAAATCAGCTTTAGCCTTCGTTTGGGAAGTGGGTTAGTTTTTTAGTTTTTTTAATTTTTTTTAGCTATTTTAGCCTGGGCTTAAAAGCTTGGTTTGGGAAGAGTTTTTTGACTTTTTGACTTTTTTGAGTTTTTTTGTGAGAGAAGAATGTAATGATTATGGGTTGGATGTGATGTTTTGTTTGTTATGGCTAAAATAGCCTATTTTGTTTTTTGTGGCTAAAATAGTCAAAAAAACCTGCAAACTCACTTGCCAAACACAAGCTTAACGAGTTAAGAATTCAAAAAATAAAAAACAAAAAATAAAAAATTCCCACATCATGGGGGGCAGTTAAGTAAACCTCCCCTAAAGCTTCATATTTAAAAGCTCCCAAGCATTTTTATTGCATGTTAGGCCAAGTGCGAAAAAGATACTCAGATTCCATTTTTATGGTACAAAATTTGGATTCCCAATGAAAAATAAAATTTCACTACAGGGGGAAAATAGATATTTTCACAATTGAAAATCACTGTTCATTTCACCGAAAACACTGTTTACATAGCATTGCTGCTTTATGTATGGAAAAATGATTTTGAGCTCTAATTGTAGAGTTTTAGGAAAGCTGTAAAGAGGTGAGTTTTACTTGTGATATGGCGTGTATGTCTTGTTTTTTTTGTTTTTGTTTTTTTCATTGTCACATTATTAGAGCTCAAATTAAAGTTTTAAAATTAGAGTTCTATATCATTGCTCTTATGTATATTGTATAGGGCAGGCTTCTCTCCTGTCTGAGATCGAATTGAAGTGTGCTGTTAGGTCAGTAGGCGTTCATCACAGGTTCTATTTCGATAATTCAAATTGTTTAATACGTAAAACTCGTTAAATATCTCATTTTTATAAAAAATTGCCTTAATCAGATATCAATAGTCACTTGATCAAATTATATTTTTATTAACGGTAAATATAATTTTCAAAATAAATTATTGACAGAAATCAAATTTGATCAAGTAATTATCGATGTTCAATCAATGTGATATTTTACAAATATAAAATATTCGACAAATTTTATATATTAAACGATTTAAATCAGTAAAACAAAACTTATAGTAAGTTTCATCGTCTCAAACGGTACGATGCTGTCCACTCTGTAGATTGGAAAGAATCTGATCTCATAGATATGGACACACTTAAAAAAAGGTCTAAAAGATCCATTTCAAACACGTTTTTGTGTTTTACGGAAATTGTGGTTTGGAAAGAATCTGATCTCATAGATATGGACGCACTTTAAAAAAATTCTAAAAGATTCATTTCAAACATGTTTTGTTGTTTTACGGAAATTGTGGTTCACCATTGTACATCATTTAGTTTTTTTAAGAAGGAAGCAGTTTGTCCTGAGATCGTATTAGACAAATTATTTGACTTATGAGGACTTATCATAGGTTTTGTTTTGATAATTTGAATCGTTTAATATGTAGAACTCGTCAAGTACTATATGCATATAAAAAATAACGTTGATCGGATATCAATAGCTATCTCATCGAATTAATTTTTTTGTCAATCGTTAATTTGTTCACAATTTATTTTTTTTAAACAAAACTGATTTAATTACATAACTATCGATATCCGATTAACGTAATTTTTACAAATATATAATACTAGATAAATTTTACACATTAACAATTTAAATTATCAAAACAAAAATACCTCACAGCCGAACAGCACCGCCAGTCCGATCAGGAGGCATACTGCTCCCTTTTCAAAAGCTATTTTGAAATGACATAATATGTTTTCTTCTCAGAAAGCACAGAAACTATGTATGATATTTTCAAATCTGTGTGTGATATTTTCCATTCAATTTATGGAGGATTTCAACAATATAATGCTACTTGTAAAAATAAAATAAAATAGAGAGAATAAATATAATTTTTGTAATTTGGGAAGTATTTTAAGGTACTTGATATTAAAATTTTATAAGATAAAAGATATATAATATTTTTATAATAGTTAAGGTCCTTTAACATTTTCGCAGAGAAAAGAGAAATTTCGCCTGATTCAAAAAAAATTTGTTCCCGATATAGAGAAATTTCAATTTTCACAGAAAAATTTTAAAATTTTTCTAATATGATCTTAAAAAAATTTCATTGAGGATTTTAGCTAATAAAAATATATATATATATATCTTGGAACTTTTTTACTACACAAAGTTGGATGGTGATGTTTAACTAATTTTTTCTTTTATTTGTATCAATTTTATCTTTAATTTTTTAGATTATGTCAATTTAATTCAATTAACAACAAAAATCAAATATAAAATTAAGGACAAAATATTTCATTCAAAAGAAATTTGACCATTTCAAATTAGATGCTAACTTCCCAATTATTTTGACGGGATTGAATAAATAATTTTACCCTTGATTTCAGTGCTATTTGTAAATAAGTAATATTAATTAGATTAAATTAACACAATATGAAAAATTAATAATAAAAATCAATGTAATTAGAATTATAGACCCTTGCGGTAGACACAGCACCCACTATTGTGCTACGGATCCATTTCAAGAACTATTTCAATAATCGAAATTGTTCACCTTTTAGAGTACATACTTACAAAAACTCAAGTTAATCAGATATCGTTAACTATTTCATCGAATTGCATTTTTATCGACAAAAATAAATGACAAATGTAATTTAAAGTATAAAATTGAATATAAATGTAAGTTGATGAAAGGACTAACGATATTCAATCAATTTGATTTTTTGTAAGTATATTATATTTCATGTGTTCTAAAAAATAAACAATTTTTGACTGTACAATAGTAGTTGTTATGCCCCCACACAACCACCACCCCATCTCACCCAAAAAAACAAGCTGTAAAGACTAGGAGAATAATTTATCCAAAAATAGATCTAGGCAACATTTTGATTTTTCTATACTTTTCTATTCATGTAGCGACAGCAGAACTAGCCAGAAAAACAAGGGATGAGTAGGAACTATGGAATGGCCAATTTAGAGCACCATGTGAAATTAATTGGTCCAAAACAATGGTGAATCAAACAAGATGAGAATTTCATGTTGCATCAGGGTACTACCAAAAACTAATTCCTCATTAAAACTAAACGTTTTTCTACATGTACTGTCTAATATTACAGGGGGTGTAACAACAATGCGACCATTTCTCCGTAAATTCTTCCCGTCGATACTGAAGAAGGCTGCCGAGGCCAAAACAAACGTGTATTGCGTGTATGACAGCCAGGTTTTGACAGCATTCACATCGTCCCTTTACTTAGCCGGGTTGGCGGCCTCCCTTGTGGCTAGTCGCATCACGGCCGCCTTGGGCCGGAGAAACATCATGGTGGTGGGTGGTTGCACCTTCCTTGTTGGTGCTGCCATCAATGGTGGTGCTGAGAATATTGCTATGCTAATCGTAGGTCGTCTGTTGCTCGGTTTTGGTGTTGGTTTCACAAATCAGGTAAACTTCTCCCTTGGTTATGTTGACAATTCTCTATCTGTAAACATCATTATGATTAAATATTATTTAAAAAATATTTTCTATAAAATAATAAATTTATATTCTAGTATTTAGAGTCACATCAAGTTCTTTAAATTTATAGTCAAATTATAGTTAAAAAAGATATTTCACTATTTTAACTAGTCACCTCTTTAGTACTTACGGCATCAAACTCTCTATTCTAACTTAACTTTATTAAAATATTATTTTCTTATTATATTTATTATTCTTTTTTTTAATTAAATTAATGAGTTACCAACCAAATAATTCTTAAAAAATGAAAAATAAAATAAAATAAATAATAATTTGGCCGTTGACCGGCCAAACTTCTGGGCGGACATCCGGTAACACTAATCTCCGTGTTGTAGCGATGAACAGTACATCGCTTGTTGTAGCGAAGTACTATAGCACTCATATATTAGCGATGAACAGTAACGAGACTAATGCAGTCCATTTTTTATAAACAGTATCACTAATTTAGCTAAAAAATAATTTTAGCTAGTTTGATGCTGATGCTCTTACACGGTTTTTAATTGGAACCCACTAAATTACGTGGTAATTTCGTTGGGCATTTTTATAAAAAATATTAGAGATTCTAAAAATTTTATCAAATGTCTCGTATGGATATAAGACTTACACCATGTAAGTCTCATGGGACATTTGGTAAAAATTTTAGAATCTCTAACATTGCTCCATTTTTATATCTACAACTAATATTCTCTTCTAAATATTCTTCTATGGCAGAACCTTAATACAAAATAATAGTAAAAAAAGATTATTGATTAAGTGAATCCCTTAAATTGAGGTAAAGAAAATACTAAGAACAATAATTTTTACATATTCTATACCGTATTTTATATATATATGTCACAAATAAAATATATCTAATAATTAATATTCTCTCTTGTAAATATATGATATTATATATATATATATATAGAGAGATATATTATAATAAAAGTTTATAAACGTAAAATAGTCTACATAATAATTTTAATATAAAAAAAAGACCTATTAGAATAAAAGCTGAAATATATAGGACTTGATGGGATATTAAAAATTTTTAGCGTAAATTACACTGACACCCCCTTAAGCTTTATGTTTATTATAGTTTTCCCTCTCACATTTGGAAAATTACACTGACTCTCTTATTAATTTAATTTTATGTATAATGATCATTACGGTGAGGGGGAACTGTTATGAAACTTTAAACCTTAGGGGACAATCTGTAATGAAACTTTAAACCTCATGGAGAGGAATGTAATTTTCAAAAGGTGAGGAGGGAACTGTAATGAATATAAATCTCAGGAGATGTCAATATAATTTACCTAAAATTTTATGAAGTTATGAGATTATAAATGAGATTTATAAATCTCCGTTATTATTTTTATTTAGCAATAATAGTAAGAACTAAAATGTAAAATCAATTGTTGGCATATTTACAAAAAGAAAATATTTGGGACCCCTATAAAAAAAGACTCCCATGACTTTCACTGATACATTGATCATTGATGTGTTTGAATTTTTTTTTAGAGTAATATCTGACAATAATATAAATAATTCAAATCATTTTAAAAATTATGAAGATTGTATTTTGTGAGAATCCCTATCATTACCGTTTACCAAAAAACCATTCTCTAACTTTGGAGAAACATGTTACCAATGAAGGCAACTCCTGTATACCTTTCCGAAATGGCACCATCCAAATGGCGCGGCGCCTTCAACACCGGCTTCCAATTCTTCATCGGTATCGGCGTTGTCACCGCCAACTGCCTAAACTACGGCACAGCTCGGCTCAGCTACGGCTGGCGTCTCTCCCTTGGCCTCGCCGTCATCCCCGCCGCCATCATGACAGTGGGTGCACTCCTCATCACGGACACCCCGAGCAGCCTCGTGGAGCGCGGGAAGCTAGACCAAGCCAAACAATCCCTGAGGAAAGTCCGAGGAGTCGAGACCGACATCGAGCCAGAGCTAGGCGATCTTGTGAAGTCGAGCGAAATGGCTAAAGCAGCCAATCAAGAACCGTTTGTGACGATATTTGAGAGGCAATATAGGCCTCACCTGGTGATGTCTATTGCTATACCGTTTTTTCAACAGGTTACTGGGATTAATATCATAGCCTTTTACGCGCCGGTTCTGTTTCAGTCAGTGGGGTTTGGAAATGACTCGGCTTTAATAGCGGCTATTATATTGGGCTTAGTTAACCTTGGCTCCATCCTTGTGTCTACTGTGGTTGTTGATCGGTTCGGTCGTAGATTTTTGTTCTTGCAGGGTGGCATTCAAATGTTCATCTGTCAGGTATGTGTGGGTGTTTGGGATTTATTTATTTATTTTTTTTAGTAATATTATGAATTTAAATTTAATTATGCAAAAATTATTTAGAATGCTTATTTTATGGTTTAGATTTATTTTGACCTCATACTATATAAATGTAATTCCTGTCACACTATCTTCCACTTAAAAAAATCTAAATAGTTAAGTTTGGGACTCTAGACTTTTTCTTATTTTTTTGGTAGTTTATTTTTGCTTTTACTGAATTTTTTTATTTTTTTTAAAAATGTTTTAGGTTTCTAAATTTTACTGGAAGAGACAAATTAACAAATTTAAAAAAAAAAAATAGAAATAACAAAAGTAAATAAAAAAGTAGACATTTTTTTGGCTTTTTTAATTTTTTTTACATTTTAAATTATTCTACATAGGACGTATCAAAAAAGTTTAATTTTTAATTTAATTTTTCTTATTTTTTAAATGTGGCTTGTTTTGAAGTTCCAAACAGCTTAAAGCTAGTGGTATAGGTGGTTGGTTTACTTGCAAAAAATTAAAAAAATAAATAAATAAATAAAAAAAAGGAAAGAAAGAAAGAAAGAAAAAAGGCTGTTGCTTTACTTAGAATTGGGCCTTGTCTTGGTTTCGTGGGCCTCGAGGAGGATAGTCTTGGACTTTTTTTGAAATAGTTTTTGGGTCAGGGCTGAGCCTTCTGATTATATAATATATGTGAATGGAAACAAATTTTATAAAATCTTATCAATTTATATATATACATATATATGCTATGTTTCTTTCTCGAAAGATTTATTAGAAAATCATTTTTCAAGTGTTTGTATTCTAATTAATTCATAAAATATTCTTATATTCCAATAAGTCTTATTATTTGAATATTTGATCTACTAAATCCTAATTTTCATATTTAAAATATTTTATTGACATTTCTACATTTACAAATATTTTTTGAACACTTAGCAATTTGGTGATGTGAACATTCATATTTTACAATGTGAATATTCACATCGATATGTTAACATTCACATTGATGGTGTGAACATTCACATTAACAGTATGAACATTCACATCATGGAATATTTACACTGTGAATATTATTAGGGGTATTTTGGTAACTATGTCACCCATATGACTTATTAGAATATAAGAAAAAAATATGAATTAGAACATAAGTAAATAAAAAGAGATTTATGAAAAAAATATCCCTTCTTTCTTTGTATGATTTTTATGTTTGTAATAGAACTGTCGTAACTACTATCTTTGTTTGTCTTCTTTCAATATATATTTTCCGATCAAAAAAATAAATAAAAATTTTGTTGAACTGATTCATTTTGTGATGGCATATATGTGAAGGTTGCCCTCGCTTGCATCCTAGCCGTAGAAACCGGTCTAACCGGAACAAAAAACCTCTCCAAGGGCAGCGCCATAATTGTGCTAGTCCTAATGTGCATCTATGCAGCCGGTTTTGGTTGGTCATGGGGACCTCTAAGCTGGCTCATTCCCAGTGAAATCTTCCCCATGAAAATCCGAACCACAGGTCAAAGCATCAGCGTCGCAATCAATTTCGCCACCACTTTCGTGTTGTCCCAAACTTTCTTGGCCATGCTATGTCACTTCAAATTCGGCGCTTTTCTTTTCTACGCTGGCTGGATCGCCGTAATGACAATTTTTGTTCTACTTTTTGTGCCGGAAACTAAAGGGATTCCTATGAATTCGATGTATGCCGTTTGGGAGAAGCATTGGTACTGGAGTAGATTTGTCAAGGCTCAGTTCTAGTTGTTATTGAATATGACTTGAATTTTTCTAAATTATTGGAAACAAAAAAATCGAATTTGTGGATTAAGATATATAAAAACTCCTTTGTATGTGTACAATGTTTTGACCATGATACCATGTCAGTCCATGTAATCGAAATTTAGGCACTTGTGAAATTTACTTTCATGATATGGTTGAATTCATTTTTATCAATAACACACACAAAGAATGCAGTGATGTTTCGCCAAATGTTCACATTTATAAGTACAAATGTTTCGTAAGATATCAGTACATTCTGTGCGTATAAATTTTTTGTGCACATCGTGCTATTAATTAGGAACTTTTCAAGATACTCATCATTTAATAGTCAACCAAACCCTAAACAATTGAGAGGAAAATGAAATTGACATCAACAAAGCCTTTGTTGAGACTAACTTTCAAAAAATAAAAATAGAAAACAAAAACACTAAAACACAACCAAATAGAATCTCATTGATAACTTGTGAATTGATAGATTTCATTTTCTTTACCAATCATAAAAGAAAGTATCACCTTAACCAGTTTGGGATTGCTGCTGTGCATGGTGCGCAACAACTGTTGCGCACTTTATTGGGTCCATTTCAAGGCCTAATTCGATAATCTAAACTGTCCACATTTTAGAAGGTATCGAGTAGAATATACTTGTAAAAATCGGATATTGTTAACTCTTTCATCAAATCGCATTTGCATTAGGTTTTATATTTCAAATTACATTTATCTTTTTTCTTTAAATATAAATGTGATTTGATGAAAATGCCATCGATATCTGATTGATGTGAGTTTTTACAGGTATATTATGCTCGATACCTTGTAAAATGTGAACGATTTAAATTATCGAATTAGACCTTGATATGGGCCCAATAAGATGCGCAATAGTTGCTACTGCTGCTTAGCAGCAACCCAAACTCCACCTTAACATTGCACTATCCATATGCTAAAAATTGATAGATCTCATTTTCTCTCCTTGTTAATTGTTGAAGGAAAGAATAACACTAATTGGGAAATCTAGTACTACGATTATGACGGACAAACATTTTTATTGTACTTATATGCCAACAGTTTTTATTAAATAAGTTATTGTGTAATCTTTTTTTTTTCTTAATAGTAATCTTAGAATATCAATTTAATAAGTTGATATAAAACCATCTCCGATCCAATACCTTTTTTTTGTTCCATCAAATTTAAATTTAATAAACACAGGCGATTTTTACTGCTTCAACCCTTTCACCAAATAAATATTAAATTTAGGATTTCTCAAATCTTTCATCAAATTGAAGATGGATGTGCCTTTCATCAATCGCTGTTCATAGCCGTTGGAACTGCAGGTTATTTTCACCACCGGACGACCGGCCAGATGTCCCCCCGAATGACCATCTCCTTGCAAAAATTTGTGAAAAACTTACAGTGGCCGGTCGACCAGCTGGACATCCTCATAGTCGTCCGCCCAATCTACCGATATTTTGATGAAAGTTTAAAATCCTCTGTTGAAACCGGTGATATCAAATAGAGTTTTTACTCAAATTTAGTGAAAATATATATATATATATACACACAACGTTGGAGATGCTCTAATACTAGGGGTGGGAAACGGTTTATCCGATCAGCAAAAACTGCCAAACCCGCCCAACCTGTATACAAATGGGCGGTTTCGCAAACACAATGCGGGCAGATGCAATTTGAAATATGGTATGTTTGCGGGTTGCGGGTTTAACCCGCACCCGCAAGAACCCGCCCGCACTTTTTATTTTATTTTATTTATTTATTTATTTTATCTTAACCATTGATTTCATTTTTATATCCTACCTAGATATTTTTGCTCAAAACAAAACACCATTTATTCTTTGAACTTACTCTAACATTTCATTTGCTAATAGTATTATATCAACTAAAACTGAATAAATATCAATCATATTATTATTGTTACATAACTGAATTTGTCCCAAATGAAGTGTGATTTGGAATTTAAATTCCTTAATTAATATGGAGTTCTGGTTTAGAATTTTGAAATATGTGTTCGTGTTAGTTTATGATTTGATTTAAGATTTTGAATGATTTATTTGTGTTACGAATTGATTTTGTTGTGTTTTTAATTTTATAAGTTTTAATTCATTAATTATTAATGTTGGAGCATTTTAGAAGATAAGGAGAAAAGAATCCAAAATAAATATTTACAAAATGGGAAAAAAATAAGGCTCAAAAATAAATTTTTGAAAAAAAATTCAATTCGCAAACCACCCGCACATCCGCGAATCCTATCCGCATAAACCGCAAACCGCACTACGGGCCGTTGCGGGTTGTCTTTTCCCCAAACCGTATAGATGCAGGCGGCTCCAAACCGATCTGCAAACCATCCAAATCCGAACCGTGAACACCCCTATCTAATACTTCTAAATCAATAAAAGTAAGGAAAATTTAGTTAAAACCATTCCATTGGACACTTATTTGGAGAAAATGATAGTCTAATTTATTTTTCTTCATAAACTCCCCAAGAAGAAAACACATAATTAAGTAAGGACAAAATAATTTTTTTTCTTTCTTAGATAATATTACCAAGTAACATCAAATAGAGTAATTGTCAAACAGAATAACATGTTATTGTGAGACAAAGTAACATGTTACTGTCAAACAGAGTAACATGTTACTGTTATTATTTATATCAATTTTAACGGTAATTTCATACTCAACATGGATCTTATTTAATAGATCTCCTAAAAATATTAATTTTATTCAAAACTAACATTCACATCAAAAATTATATTATTTTAAAATTTAATATTTTAATAATAGTAATATTTTTTGGACTTTTTAACCAAAAAAATTGTGTGTTTATACGAGAGACACTACAACATTTTCTTAGTTTAGTGACATTTGAAAATGCCACAAAACTATTCTTCTAATGACATTTTTTGGTCTTGTGGCAATGTTTGTGACTTTGTGGCATTTATCTAAATGTGTCACCAAATATTATTTTTGTGGCATTTTCAAAAAATATGCCACTAGTATAGTGTCACTAAAGTGTGTTTTTGTTGTAGTGTTGTGATACTTGTTTATTGAAATGTCACTAGAGCCTTTTATGTTTGTCGTTTTGTGACATTTTTCAAAAATGTGCCACTAAATATCATTTTTTGTGACATTTTCTAAAAATATGCCACTAGTGTAGTGCCACTAAAATGTGTTTTTATTGTCTCTAGAGCTTTGATCAAATACCCTTGAATGTAATGGTTACAGAATCAGTAGAGTCAATTTAGCTCGCAAGGTCAACCCCAGAGGCAAAATCTCAATTAGAATCATACACAAAAATAAAATAAAGTAAAATAAAAATTATATATATTTCTATTTGACAATTAAATGTAATAATCTTAATTAATGATGTGAATATAAATTTTTATAGAAAAGATTTTTATTTAAATAAAAAAAACCATTACAGATAAAATTAATGTTCAAATATTTAAATTTTAGTGGGGCAATTTTTTATTTAAAAATTTTTTTTACTGAAAATTATGACAAAAAATTAATTTGAAAATCATATTTTTAATAATTTTCTTTTTTGTAAACTTGCGCCTCCACGTGCATCTACATGGCTTTATCGATAATTCCAATTATGATCCTTTTGTGAGATTTTATTGATTTGGAATAGTATATAAATATGTCAGGATGAAAGTTTTAAAAAGCGATTGTAATTATTACGTAGAATTGTTATATAACAGTTGTAATAGTTACTGTTACTTGTTAAAACTGTTATAGTGGTGTGACAGAAATTTATATATATAGGTTGTTTCGGTTTCACATAACGGTTATAGCGGTACCGTAACCACTGTAAGTTTGTAACGATCTGTTAGACACTGTTACACCTAAGGTTTCAAAATACGGCATTACGTGACGATTGCTGCAGTAAGCACCACACGTTAACCCCACTTTTACGGTGTGATTGAGATCATTTGTGTGTCGACCGTAGCAGCCATAACGGCGCTGTAACGGCCTATTACGCACAGTTACATAATGGTTCCAAACTATTTCTTTGGAAAAAAAGAAAAAGAAGAAGTCAAAAATGGGGGAAAGAGGGGTAAAAAGAGAAGAGGGAAGATTGAGGAGAAAGAGATAGAGAGAGAAGAGGGAAGATGAAGAACATGTTATTAATTTGTTGAAGCTGAAGCTGTAAAACCTATATTATTCTATTCGGCTGCTATCATTCAACCATTTTATTTGTGTGTGTCTATTTATATATTGTTTGAAAATAATAATAATAAGAATAATAATAAGTGCGGTCATTATCTATTTGTCTTGATTAAAAAATATATATATATATATATGATATTTAGGCTATTATTTATTCTTTTACTTTTGTCATTATTTATCTTATATATAATAATTTAGTGATTGATTTTTTTTGTAAAACATCTAAAAAACATAACACCTATAATTATATATTAATACATATTTTATACATGTCAATTTTTTTGATTTGTTTATTTCATTTTTATTTACAGGTTATTCAAAAAGAGAATGAATATTCAAGTGATCTAAACCAAAAAAAAAAAAAATCTTTATAATTTTATATGATTACATTAGCATGTATAATTTATTTTTTAAAACTATTCAAGTTAAAATTTGCATATGCTTCCATAAGTATAATAATAAAAAAATAATTTTATATATGTAAATCTAATAAAAATGTTTTTTTGCCACAAGCGTAATATGGATCTATGACATATAAAGTCATTAATTATTAAAATAAAATGTAAAAAAAAATCAATTTATAGTAATTTAAAAATATGAAATATATTGGATCGTACTTAAAAATTTATAAAAATTGATCAATATTTATTTGAAAACCCAATAAATATGATTATGGGGAAAAAAATGTGTATTGGTAAGTTTTTTTAAAATTGTGTGAAAAATTAAAAAAAAATTTACGGTTCCGGTTACTGCAACCGTTATACTACGGCCTTTACACCCTGTAACCACAACTGTATCACCGCTACCGTTACGACAACCACAACCACTTTTTAAAACCTGGGTCACGATAGTACTTTAAAGCAACTAATTAAATAAATTTTAAGTTAAAAAAAATGTGAACATGTCATCGTGATAGTATTTCAGAACAACTGAATAGTTTTTGCAGTACGCAAAGGTAGTTAGGTTATTCATTCATAGCCCTCATTAATATGAGTTGGCCGTT